GCCGCTGGCCGTTTCCGGGCCGTTGGCCACTGGCGCTGCATCGGAACCAGCAGAAATATTAAAGTCTCCACTGATAAACTGAACTCAGGCTTCATTGATCCACTGCTGCTGTTCTGGACGGGATCAAATTCCTCAACTGGATCAACTGGATGTTTCTGCTCCGGTTTCTGTCCCGCCCTTGACAGTTCTGTCCAATCAGAGCAAAGATCCTCACACACCTGGTTTGGTTCACAAACTGGTTCTGAAATTCTGAAAGTGTTTTTATATTTTAAAAAATTGTTCCAAAGTCAATTTTTAACATTTGATTAAACTATTTATTGTCCAAACCTGATTTTTCTCTTGATAGATTTGCAGGATGTTTAGCTGCAGTGTTTGTCCACCAGGGGGCAGCAGAGCCTGCAGTGTTTGTCCACCAGGGGGCAGCAGAACCTGCAGTGTTTGTCCACCAGGGGCAGCAGAACCTGAATCGTCTGTAAAAATCTCAGTCTTTCATATTTTCATTCTGCTGAACTTCAGGAAAGTTGGAAACATTTTAAATGTTATAAAAATCTTCTAGATGATAAGTGATGTTGGTCTCAGTAGGTTTATTGATGGATTATTGATCATATGGTTGATCAGACATGATGCCTTTAACTCACTGATGGTTGATGGTGGAAAATGAAGGATTCTTAAAGCTGCAGCTCAGAGGAACCAACTGGATCTAAACCAGTGAAATCCTTCAGTCTGATCCAGGCAGAGTCACTGGGAGACTGGAGTCCAGATCCACTGGGACTGGGCAGATATCAATGATATCAATGATTGATCATCAATTTATCATCAGACAGTAATTATACAAGTTTAATCAGTTTAAACTCAACCAGGAGATCATCTGGGTTTGTTTTAATTTTTTTATGCTCTTCAGAATAAAGTTAAAATCATGAGGATAATTTTAAAACTGATTTTATGAATAAAGATGATAAAAAAAAGCAGAAAAACTTCTGGATCATTTGAGTTATTTTATTTCAAAGATATTTTTAGACAAAACAACAGAAAACAAGCAGAAAATGCTGCTTTGGTTTAACAGCTTTAATCTGAGGTTCAGGTTTAATTTACATTCTGTAAATAAGTTTCAGCTGCTGAACCACAAACAGACAAACTGAACATCAACAAGCTGCAGAATCGCAGGTTAAACAGGTTAAATGGTTAAACTGGTTAAACTGGTTAAACTGGTTTAACTGGTTAAACTGGTTAACAGACTGAAGCTGCTGAGGTTTTAACAGTTCAGACATTTAAAATCAAATAAAAACATGAGACTGAAGTGAGAATGAAACATTAAATCCATTCATGAGGGAAGAAACTAAAACATTCAGATGAACATTTGTCTCCATCTGAGTCGATGTTTTTCTCCTGCATTCATTTATTGTCAGAATCATAAATCAGATTCTTCTGAATGAACAACTTTCCAGTGTCTAAAAGAAACTATGTGAGGAACTGAACTGATGTTTTCTTCCTGTTGTCAGTGGATCCAGTTTCACATCAGCAACATTTTCAGTTTCCAGAGTTTCAGCATCAAAGTTTTCTTCTTCTTCTGTCATGGTGGCGTACAGAACAGTAGTGAAGCAGCGCTGCCTCAGAGCTGCAGAAGAAGAAAACATCAGGTTACTGGATCATTTAGCTGCAGCTAAGCTAACCTCTTAGCACCACTGCTGCTAGCATGGCTAATGCTAACTGACTAGCCTGAGGCTAACTGCTGCTAACATGGCTAATGCTAACTGACTAGCCTGAGGCAAACTGTTTCTAGCATGACTAATGCTAACTGACTAGCCTGAGGCTAACTGCTGTTAGCATGGCTAATGGTCACTGACTAGCTAGCATAGCTAATGCTAACTGAATAGCTGGCATAGCTAATGCTAACTGACAAGCCTGAGGCTAACTGCTGCTAGCATGGCTAATGCTAACTGACTAGCCTGAGGTTAACTGCTGCTAGCATGGCTAATGCTAACTGACTAGCTAGCATAGCTAATGCTAACTGACTAGCCTGAGGCTAACTGCTGCTAACACATGTTGAACTATAAAGTGACTCATTGCTAAAGCTTCCTGTCAGTAGAAATTTAATTATTACATAAATATTGCAGGATTATGGATCTGATCAGATGTTCCTGTCTGCATGTTCTCTCTGGGTAATCTGGGTAATCTGGATTATTTGTTGTAATCTGGATTCTCTGGCTAATCTGGACTCTCTCTTGGTAATCTGGATTATCTCTGGGTAATCTGGGTTCTCTCTTGGTAATCTGGATTCTCTCTGGTCAAACTGGATTCTCTGTTTATAATCTGGATTCTCTCTGGGTAATCTGGATTCTCTCTTGGTAATCTGGACTCTCTGTGGATAATCTGGACTCTGTTTATAATCTGGATTCTCTCTTGGTAATCTGGATTCTCTCTGGTCAATCCGGATTCTCTCTGGCTAATCTGGATTCTCTCTGGGTAATCTGGACTCTCTCTTGGTAATCTGGATTATCTGGGTAATCTGGATTCTCTCTAGCTAATCTGGATTCTTTCTTGGTAATCTGGATATTCTCTTGGTAATCTGGATTATCTGGGTAATCTGGATTCTCTCTGGGTAATCTGGATTCTCTCTGGGTAATCTGGATTCTCTCTTGGTAATCTGGATTATCTCTGGGTAATCTGGATTCTCTCTGGTTAATCTGGATTATCTCTGTTTAATCTGGGTTCTTCCATCAGGTATCAACGTTAATTAATCTGATTCTCTAAGTTACTGTCTCTGGATTAACTCTGGATGTTTTCTGGCTGCTTGTCCAGTGAAGAACAACAGAGACAATGTTGAGTTTTTTATGGATCTGAACTTCAACCTCTGATTTGTTTTTCATTGAATCATGTTATTAGTTTAATCTGCTCTGGTTCTTCCTGATATAATCATAATCTTCCTGATGTTGCAGGAAACTAAAAGTTGTTGATTTGCCATCAGGCTGAACTGATCTAGGATCTGAATGCAGCAGAGATCAGAGATCAGCAGCTTTACTGACTGAACATGGTGAATGTTTGATCTGCTGAGATCTTTACAGTCAATATCCATCCATTGATTTCTACCCCAGCTCATTCTGCCCCTAGTGGCCATTAGGAGTAATGCAGGAAAACCTGGACAGAAGCACAGAGGAGCTGAGAGTTTAATCAGAATAACAATAAAGAGAATGTATGGAAACACACCATCTATAAATGATAAAGTATTTAGTTGACCTGCAGGCTGGCAGCAGTTTGTTTTCATCAGGAAATGTTTTCTGGTTTCTAGCAGCAGCAGAAACCACCAAACTTCTCACCTTCATTCAGCCAATGAGACGTTTTCACCTCACAGTGAGAAACAAACAGTTTGTCAGGTTTGAGTCGACGGCTAAAGACCAAACCGCAGCCTGAGACTCAGCCTGCATGTGAACAAGCTTCACATGTTGCTGTGAGCCTGGCAGGAGAAACAATTATAATATAATAATAAAATCATAAAATAATAAAATAATAAACGCTCTGAGAGGATCAACCAGCACTAACTGCTCAGAGACATGAAATTAACTCAGAGATTCTGTTTATTTTACATTTACTGATGAAAACTAAACATTTCCTGTATTCAGAAACTGAAAAACTCAGACATGAGGTGATAATCTGGATATTCCAGAATAATTAAAATAAATATGATAATGTTAAAGTGAATGTAAATGTCTGCTCAGATATCAGTCTAGTTTGGATTAAACTCTCGGCTCCATACATTTCTTCAAGTTCTCCTAAACATTCCACTTTTTCTTTTTCACTTTGCTTTTGTAAGCGATTTATTTTAAAACGACAATCACATTGAGGTGGAAACAAAGCTAAAGTTAATTTGATTCTCATTTAATTTTCTGCCTATTAATAAAGTTTATTATATCTGATTCAATAAAAACCTGACTTCCTCCAGTAGATGCAGGAAACTGGTTTCTGCTCCCAGTTTGTCCAGAATCATTTTCTGAGCTCCTCTTCACATCTGACCCTAATCCTAACCCTTAACCCTAACTCTAACCCTAACCCTACCCTAACCCTAACCCTTACCCTAACCCTAACTCTAACCTTAACCCTAATAACTCTAATAACTCTAACTGTAACTCTACGTAAAAACAAACCAGGAGTTTTAAAATCAGCTTAAAGTTTCAGTCAGAAAACTGGAGACTTGACGTGTTTCAGACATGAAGAAACTCATTAAATATGATATTAAAATGTATTTTAGTGGCTGTTCATGAATCTGTGGGCTCTGCAGCGTTTCCATCACAACCTGAAGCAGAAACAGGAAACTGGACGACCTCAGAGTCTGTTAGCGTCAGTTAGCAGAAAAACCACAAACTGCTGCGAAGCTTCATTACAGAGACAAAGTTTAACTTTAACCTGCTGAACGAACAACTGGAGACGAACGAGAATAACTGCAATTTATATTAATTATTCTATTATTATATCAAGTTTGTATCACAAATTTTTGATCATTTATATTAGAAATAGAGACAAAATAAAAAAAACTCATCATGACAGAAAAAACATTAGAAACTGGAATTTCATTTTGACCCAGTGGTTCAATACTTTATATTATTTTGGTGATTAAAAGGTTTATTGATATGATATTGATATAACTGATCAACCTTTATTTGTCTTGAGTTTTTGCACAAACATATTTGAACATCTAATTGATCGATGAATTTATTCTGATCAATAGAAAAACTCTGAAAATTTCAATTCTTTAGTTTTTTCCAGATGAAGCAAAATATTAAAATCAAACATTTTGATTGATTTGTTTTTCTTTTCTTCCTGCTGTGATAGTTTAACATCAGTGTGAGTTAATCTTTTCTCTTCAACTTCCTGATTACCTGAAAATTAATTATTGATAAATTATTGATAAATATCTTCTGCATTGAAAATATAAAAACGTACAAAAACTCAAAACGAAAATAATTTAGAGTTAACAGCTGCATGCATCACGTTGATCTCACCTTTAGATTTCCTGTTAATGTGACGATTGACCAGTAGAACCAGTAGAACCAGTAGAACCAGAACAGCAGCTGATAGAGACAAGAGACCATAGAGGAGAAACTGGGAGGAAGATGAAGAGGAAGATGATGGAGGAGGAGTTGATGGAGACGATGTGGTTGATGGTTTCTCTAAAATAAAGTTTTAATAAGTTATAAATTCATGTTAACCTTAAAGTTCAGGATTTATTGAACCTACCTGACCTCTGACCTTTGACAGAGACCCTGCTGGATGGAGACTCTCCAGAACCGCTGATGCTACATTTATAGAGGCCTTCATCAGAGCTGGAAACATGGAGGAGGGTCATGCTGCCTGCTGATCCATCACCAATGAAGGAGCCATCTTTATAGAAAGCAGCTGGGAGGTTGTGGGTTGGATTCCTTGCTCTGCAGCTCAGAGTGACGTCATCTCCCTCCATCACAGGGAGGACAGGACTCTGCAGGATCACTGATCCTTTCAACACAGAGACAAACTACAGCATTTCATCCATTTCCACACAGCAACACTAACTCCACAGTCTGATCTTACCAGAGACAGAGAGCTGGATGCTGCAGCTGCTGCTGCAGCTGCTGCTGCTGCTGCTGCTGCTGCTGCTGCTGCTGCTGGAGGATCCAGACTCACACCAGTACAGACCAGTGTCTGATGGGAGGAGGTAGGTCATGTTACAAGTAGAACTATTTAATTCCCCCCATCCATCTTTGCACTGAGTCCTTGTTCCTCTGCTGGTGTTTCTCCTCACTGTCCATCCAGATGATCTGTTTTCATCCTCACAGATCAGAGTCACTGATTCTCCTCTAAAGAACTGGGATCTGCTGGGACTCACAGTCAAATGAACTGGAAGAACTGGAAAATAGAATAATCATATCAGTTTTTAAAATGTTGAATAAAGTGTAAGTGAAATTAAAGAATTGTATTAAATTGTTTCATTTCTTTCTGAAACATTTAGTTTTGCATTCTGTAACGTTTCAAGGTGACATTAATATAACGAACCTTCATCCACTGTGCAGAACACCAACAAGGTCACAACTAAAGAGGAATAAACATTTTTAGATCAAAATCTGAGAAACTTGAATATCAAACAAAAAATCTATAAATTTATAAATGTGCTCATTTTCTTTAATGCTCTGATTTCTGACCGGACTCTAAATAACCCATTAGAACCATGAAGGGCAGCAGAACTGTGACCCAAACGGGCCATAAAGTGTTTGTACTCACAGAGTGAAGCTGGTAGAGATGTTGGTCTCATCGTAGCTCTGACTGATGTGAAGCTTCTGTTCAGCTGCTTTTACTGAGCTGAACCCGCCTCCTTCCTCCACATCAAGGGCCCAGAGCAGCAGACAAAGCTTCACCGGATCCACTCACATTAACTCAGCTCTCAACCACCAGCAGCACCAGGACTGCTTACATTCAATAATGAATCTGAATGTGTCACAATATCCTCCATAAATGATTTATTACATCAGTGGAATCAGATGAAGGATGTTGAACATGGAGATGCTGTAGAGGAGAGACAGAGGAGGTTGATGGATGTGGATCAGTGGGTCCAAACTGGGCTCTGGAGGTTCTGGAGGTTCTGGTGCAAGTGGCCTCCAGAGTTGCTGTATTGATGGATTTACTATGAAGGGTCAGAGTTCAGACTGTTGAGCTGCAGCTGCACCAGGATCCATGTTTCTATCATTATTCTGGTTCTGATGAGTCCAGGAAAGCAGAGATTGGTTTTACTGGTTTCCAGTCTCAGATGACTGGCTGCTTTATCACAATGTCTTTCTGTACCGACCATGGATTGACCCTTGACCTCTAATCTTAGCCGCTATGATAAGAGCCGTCATGTTGAATGTATAAATGTTTTCATGCTGGGCCCGGATCTGTCCAGGCTGATCCACGGATCAGAACATCAGGGAGTCGAGTTACAAACTAAATGCTGCATTTGATGCAAACTGCAGAGTTTGGAGGAGCCATGTTGGGACGACTTCCTGAAGGCGGAGCTTCAGAGGGAGCAGGAGGTCTTAAAGAGACAGAGGCCCAATTTCTAGGAGTTAAATTAAATCTATTTTAAGTTATAATTGATCAGAAGTGAAGGTAACATAGTGACTTGATTGTGCTATAAATGACAATATAACTAGATAATACATAATAATACTGACTTTAATGCAAAGTAAATATCACTTCTGATCTGTGAGTGAAACCAAAACATCTCGAGTCTCAAAATGTGTTTTTCTGACAGCATTTTGTGTTTAACGGCTAAAAAGCTTCAGATCGAAGCCAGGAATTCATTTATTCTTATTAACAGTTCTAGTTACAGAAACTAACTGATGACCAACCTTACAAAAACCCATTATATTATAACATTAGTTTACATAAGTTTAAATGTAGATAGTATATAGAGAAAGATGAACTAAGGTGAGGTGAACATTTTGTCTGCAGTTAAATGCTGCAAATAAAACCATCTACTGTAGAGTTCAATGAAATTCCTACGTTTCACAACTAACCTTGTCAGGTTCATTTGACCTTCTATTTAAATTATCTGAACTTTTCTTTACTCAACTCCTAAAGGAGCGATATCTGTCTCCTGGTTAACAGAGCATGACGCCCAGAACATTTCCATATAATTCATTTTCTTTATTATTTGACAGAATATGTTGGTTTAGCTTATAAACAGTTTAGACCAGGTGTTGACCAGTCAATTAGTCAACCTGAACTAGAATCAACTTGAAGACAACAGACAAAACCTGACAGAACAAGAAACACAAGTGACGTTAAATACTCAGGGGGTAATAAAGAGAACCAGACACAGCTGGGATCAATCAAGGAAGAGACGGATCAACATGGAGACTGAAAACACACAGAAACCTAAAATCAACAGAAAAACTCAAATCAACACAGAGAAAAACAAATCCTTAGTTAGCAAAGGTCTCCTAATAACAAGACAGTTACATCACCACATTAACCATAGATTAAAAAAGAAATAATTATATTTCAAAGGTTTTAAAAAATCCTGTTTAAAATACATTATTCATGATCTTTAATCACAATTAAAAAACCAAACATCTCAAAATGTGTTTTTCTGACGGCATTTTGTGTTTAACAGCTAAAAAGCTTCAGATCGAAGCCAGGAATTAATTTATTCTTATTAACAGTTCTAGTTACAGAAACAAATTCATGACCAAACTAACAAAAACCTATGAAATATGTAACATTAGTTTAAATGTAGATATAGAAAGAGATGAACTAAGGTGAGGTGAACATTTTATCTGCAGTTAAATGCTGCAAATAAAACCAGAATCAGTTCCTGCATCGGTTCATTGTGTCGCCTGTGCATCTTAACAATTAATGCTAATGATGATCAATCAAAGTCCTGATAGAATTTTCTCTCCATTGATTCATTTCTGTGTCATCAGTTAATCATTTTGCTCTTTAGCTGTTTTAACTTGTAGAAAATGTTTGCAGGAAAAATGTAATTAATCATTTCAATTATAGTTACTGTAAGAAAATATATTATTTTCTAATTTTGGTTAAAATTCAACATAAACATCAATAAACAACCTGAAGTGAATAATCAGAATCATTCACTTGGTTTCAGTTCACAAACTATCAGGAAATTAAATTTCATTATTCTCAATGAAATATAAAACATTTTTCCTTGTATTTAGTATATATATATATTAAAAAAAAAAAAAATATATATATATATATATATATATATATATATATATATATATATATATATATATATATATATATATATATATATATATATATATATATATATATCGGGGCAGTAACCCCCAAACTGGAGCAGTGGCTACAACAGATCCCAGGAACAACATCAGACATCTCAGTCCAGAAATGTGCAGCAGTCCTTGGCACAGCCAAGATACTGCAGGACCCTCAAGCTCCCAGGCCTCTGGTAGAGGACCCGAGCTCAGAGGATAAGAACCACCCATGGTGGGTGAGAAGGGAATTTTTTATATATTTACTGTTATTTTACTGACAGGAAGTCAGCCAGTGGAAGATGAGTTTCTTCAGATCACTGCAGGTTGAGTTTCTGGTTGTTTCTTCTTCCAGAGATAGAAAGAAATAAATGCAGCAACAACCAGAGAGAATAAGGAGAGAGAAACGATCAGTCCAGGAACCGTTCTGCTCTGGTTCTGGTTCTGGTTTCGGTTCTCTCCATCCTGCCTCCCAGATCTTTGGCTCTCAACCAACTGAACTGTAAAACAGAAACAGGAGTGACATGAGTTGCCAGGTTGGCTGGAAAAACCCCAACTGGGGCTAAAACCTCCTACAGGATGAATCTGCTGTCTCAGTCGAAGCTCTGAAAACAAAATCATATTTTATTTTTGGAGCTTTTTCTGGATAAAACGTCTGGTTAGAACATTTTCTCCTGGTTTGATATCAGGATCATTAATATGACTGATTGTCAGTGTTTACTGACCAATGATATGAACTCTGTGTTAGCATGTCAGCAGCATCCTAATGTAATAATATTAATATCACATTAATGTTTAATGATCTAGTTCAGCTTCTAACCTGCTGAATGATCTGAACTCACAGCAGGAATGAAAACATGCAAATAATTGATGCAGAAGCAAGTCGGAAATAAATGCCAAATATTCATTAGAAGTATAATAAATATTATTCAATCTGTTTAACAGTAACTCCAGACCTTGTAATGCTTGAGCTCGCGCCTCCCCAACATGGCTTCCTCCACAGTCGGTCACTTCAGCTTCACTTCCTGCAGACGAGAAGCAAACAAACCACAGGTTGTTTAGCAACAGCTGCGTTCATGACTGGACAGGCAGAAAAAATCAAACATGACATGAAAACATTAATGTGGTTAAAGTGGAAACACTGAGCAGAGTAAATTAAAACGTTACATTAGTGATCAGCTGTTGATGAAAACTAATCAATTCATCAATCGTCTCTTAATGGATCTGAATTTCCCTCCATTATTCCATCGTTCAGCCTGATGACAGAGAATCAGATCTGATGTGCATTTTTATGGATTAATAGTTAATAGTTACAGTATTTCAGTCTGTGTGTGTGTGTGTGTGTGTGTGTGTGTGTGTGTGTGCGTGGGTGTGTGTGTGTGTGCGTGCGTGGGTGTGTGTGGGTGTGTGTGTGTGTGCGTGCGTGGGTGTGTGTGTGTGTGTGTGTGTGTGCATGCGTGCGTGGGTGTGTGTGTGTGTGTGTGTGTGTGTGTGTGTATGATGGGAATCCCTAAATTCTGATGTTTAGAATTTCATAAAATGTCTCATGAAATTATGAAATTTTATGAGAACATCGTTAAAATTATTCAAAATAGCAGGCATACAAAATAAAACTCACATTAAAAATACTAAAGTAATTTATGCATTTAAAAGAAGTAAGAACTAAAAGACCAGAAATAATAAAACCAAAACAAAGTCAGGATCATAACAGTAACATTGTTCATTGTTGCTCCTGATTAAATAACTTAAACTGAATTTAGAGGGAGAATAAATGAAGCTGCTTTCTGAACCCAAAGAGAAAAAGTTCTGACTGAACATTTGGTTCCTCTTGTCTTTATACGACTACTGATCAGTTTTATATCAGAACTGATCAGTTTTATATCAGAACTGATCAGATTTAAATCAGAACTGATCAGTTTTATATCAGAACTGATCAGTTTTAAATCAGAACTGATCAGTTTTATATCAGAACTGATCAGTTTTCATCTGTGATCGGTTTGAATGTAAAGGGTTAATGTTGATCAGGCGAGACGTGATGAAGGTTGGAAGACAAATGGAAACAAAGACAAAACAAGTAACTTTCAATCAGGCCTTAAATGAAGACGATTTAACGAGAATCTCTGAACCCAACAGGAAGAGGAGAGGCGGTACCAGCTGTAGGGTCAGAGGTCAACACCTCCTGGTTTCCTCCCTCCTCCTCTGATCCGGGCCGGGTTTTCTGGTCTCCTTTGAGTTTCTCAAAGCGAGCTGCAGAACAGAACCAGGAATTAGTCTGACCCGCCAGAAGATCATCATCTGATCTGAGGAAGCTGTTGATTCTGATCCAGACTCACCAGGCGGAGGGGGCGGAGCTACAACCAGGTGGACGGTGCTAATGAGTTGCTTCCTGCGGTTCTTCCCGGTCTGAACGACTCGACACTCGTACGTCCCGCTGTCATCCGTCTTCCCGCCCTGCAGAACCAGAGACACGTCTCCGTTCTCCAGATCCTGCAGTCCAACCCGGTTCTGATAGGACGGATGCTGGTTGAACGGGTCCATCTGCTCGTCCCGATACAGCAGAACGTAATCTGAGCCCAGGTCGGTTCTGCGCCACTCCACGACCAGAACCGGGTTTGTGCTGGTCAGGCGGCCCGGCAGAACAACCGTCTGTCCAGATTCAGATCTGATCTGCTGATCTGAGGAGAAACAGAGAAAAACACAAACATCTGAAAAATATGACGCTTTTGAACGTGATGACATCATCATCTGTCCAATAAACCCGGTTAGCGTCCATCAGGGAGGCGGCTGGTTCTGATCCAGTTTAAAGCTTCTGTCATCAATCAACACTTGAACACCAAACATATCACTTGATCAATTTACTTCTCTAATAATAATATTAATAAAATCATCTGTTTGCTTTTATAAAGATCTTATTTGAATCCAATATGCTGGTTATGAATAAATGGGAACCAAGATGGCCGTCATATAAAGCGGCAAATTAAATTCATATTAAAGTCAAACTGAAGGAATCTGAGCAGCTTCACATGCAGTTATTTCATCATGTTTAACATATTTGGTTGTTTCTTTAATAATTCAATAGTAACTATTTATTCAATCTGATTTTAAGCCACTGGTCTAGTTCAAGTAAAAATACTCTACATATAAAAGCAAAATTATTCATATGCTGCAACTTCATCTGTTCAAGTTTCATGTTTCTCTTCACTGAAAGTAAAATTTATGATTATAGTGAAGATGAGTCAACAAAAATATCTTTACATGGATCTGATTAATAAATCCTAAAATTGTTATTTTCATCCATTTTCTAACAACCCAGTGAGTCAGAAGGTTCTGCTGCCTCTACAGCTGCATTCTGGGAGAGAGGCGGGGTCACCTGGACGGGTCACCTGGACGGGTCACCTGTCCATCGCAGGGCAACACAGAGACAAACAAGACAAACACACACACACACAGACACACACACACACAGACACACACACACAGACACACACACACAGACACACACACACACACACATACAAACTCCATGCAGGAAGATCTGGGATTCGAACCCGGGACCTTGTTGCTGCAAGGCAACAGAGCTGCCAAGTTTTATTGAGTTAATGATCATTTTTATTGATTTCTCATCCTTTGAAAGTTGATCAGAATCAAGATTCTTTCTTTTTTGTTCCGATGGTTTTCCTTTTGTCGCAGCTGTGAGGGCGGGGCCAACAATTTATTTATTTAAGGCACTTTTCTGACCTCTGACCTCTAACACATTGATCTGCTTCCCACTGTGAGACAGAACAACAAGATCTAGTTAGTGGAGAATCCTTGTATATGAACCAATAAATATTATTATTATCATCATCTTGGTGAATGTTTACTGCCTCTCGACCTAACAGGGAACTTGTAACAAGATCAATTCTTTGTCCTCCATGTTGTGAATAATTTCCCAGGAAAGTGAAACTGAATTTGCTGCACAAAGATCTGAAAACAAACAGGCTTTAGTTCAAGTCAGTCGGTTTACAGTGAAATCTCATTTTATAATTTTCTGTCTTTGTATTTTCTCCGTTTCTAAGTCTGAAAACAGGTCGTAATGTTTTGCTCCTATTCTAACCGCAGTTTACCTGACGCAGTGACGCAGTGACTCACCTGCGGACACAGAGACGGGAAGAGCCGCAGAGAGCAGAGAGATTCCGCAGAGCAAGCAGGTAACTGCGGACATTTCCAACACCTGGAGTCCAAGAACCAGAACCAGAACCGAGAAAAGACATAAAAACAAAAACTAATTTAAACTTGTAAACAGGAAGCGATGAAACTGGAGGCGTGGCATAAAATGTTTGAAAATGAGGTGGAGCTTCCTGGTTACATGCCTACATTCTGTCACCAGAGGGCGCTGTTACACAACAATGAAAGGTCAGGTCATTTTATTTACGTCACATTTTCAGCAACAACAATGATACAAGAAAACGCTGTTCAGCCTCAGGACTTCCTGTCCTTCATGTTCTCAGTGTTTCCGCTTTAACACCTGATGCAGGTGATGAATCCTGTTAATGAGCAGCCAGTGCTGCAGCCGGTGCTGCAGTGAGCTTTATGGATCAGCACTGATGAACTCTGAGGTTCAGAGGTCATCATCAGATTCCTATCTCGCCTCCAGCCTCCTGCTAAAACAAAAACATAAACTTCTGAAATACTCCTGGCTGATTTTCAGATATGAAATATTGAACCATTTTCCTCCCCTATGAAAAGCTCCAGGGACAAATCTGATCAGAGGTCAGCAGCTTCCTGTTGCTTTATAATTAAACAGTCATCAGCTGGATTCTGTGGAATTCTGGGTAATGTAGTCCTGCTGCAGCAGAGGAACATCTCAGACATGCATGGGGTCAGAGGTCATGGGGTGTCAATGTTTCATGAGTTAAAACACAAAAACAGCTGAGAGGAGTCCGGTTCTGGTCCTGACTGATGCTCCAGGTTCTGGTTCTGGTTCTGGTCCTGACTGATGCTCCAGGTTCTGGTTCTGGTTCAGCCCAGTTCTCTGGTCCAGATTAGTTGAATGTAGGTCCAGTAGTTTGATTGGGTCCAGTTTAAGCAGAGACTCAGTCCTTCCAGTTCAGTCCTCCGGAGATGAATGTGACGTCACCTGTAGCCCCGCCCACTGAGAGCTCCCGCCAATTGAAAAACGGTGTTACTGTGACATCACTTGTTCACTGGCAGATCTCTGCTGATGCTGCTGGTTAAATGTTGATGCATTAAATGTTTCTGAGAAATGACATTTTTCTCTGTAAAACCTGGACTGGATCTGAATCAGGACTGGATTGAATTTTATTGTTTCTTAGTAAAAACTGAATTTGTGTGAAAACTGAACGGACTCCTGTGAAGATACCTTATTATTGTCAATAATAATAATAATAATAATAATAATAATAATAATAATAATAATAATAATAATAATAATAATAATAATAATAATAATAATAAAAGTGATCATTGGTTGGTTGTATTTCTATTGATGCATTTCTGGTTTTTGCTGCTGTGATGCTGTTAGGTGATAAATGTGGGTTGATCCAGACACCACAGGAAGAGGGGGGGCTCAGTTAGTTCAGTTAGTTTCTAGTGAAAAACTGTAAAACTGCTGAAATGAGTCAGAGCTGCAATGAGGGAAACATCATTTCTCTGTCTGATCTGTAAGTAGAGAATCTTTGTTTTTATTTAACCTGAAACTGGAGAAAAGAAGAAACTCTAGTTAACATGAGATAACAGGAAAGATCCATAGACTTCAGATTAAACACGTCTCTAATATGTTTGTCACTTTAACAAGACGCAGCAAAACCAAAATGTGCTGTCGACTCAGAGCATTTCAGAAAACATAAAAACAATATAAAAATGTTCAATTGAGGTTAAAGTGAATCATTTAGAAAAAGGAACTGTTCAACTATAACAGACACTGTTACTAATGTAGGAAATGTGCATCTTTATTTGACCAAAAGCAAAATTTTTTACATTTAGTGACAATTAAAACCTAATTATTGTTTATAAGACATGATCCAAGTTGTGTTTTATTTTGCAGTTCTGATCTCCTTGCAGGTTCATCCAACCGTTGAAGGTCAGTGAAACGTTTTATACACAACATTTTATGAACAGTTAGTCAACAAGTTAACACCTTTACTGGTTCTTTGATTTACTGAGACGTCACTACAATCATTTAAAAAACACTTTCTGTTGTTTTCATTCTCCAGTTCGTCTGACTGTGAGTCCCAGCAGATCCCAGTTCATTGAAGGAGAATCAGTGACTCTGATCTGTGAGGATGAAAACAGATCAGCTGGATGGACAGTGAGGAGAAACACCAGCAGAGGAACCAGGAAGCCATGTGGAGATGGATGGGGGAAACCAGCTGGTTCTACATGTAACATCAGCTACATGTACCCACATGACACTGGTCTGTACTGGTGTGAGTCTGGATCCTCCAGCAGCAGCAGCAGCAGCAGCAACAGCAGCTGCAGCATCCAGCTCTCTGTCTCTGGTAAGATCAGACTGTGGAGTTAGTGTTGCTGTGTGAAAATGGATGAAATGCTGTAGTTTGTCTCTGTGTTGAAAGGATCAGTGATCCTGCAGAGTCCTGTCCTCCCTGTGATGGAGGGAGATGACGTCACTCTGAGCTGCAGAATCAGGAAATGGGATTAAATGTATTTTTCTGTTTCAGAGGAATCCTTCATCCCTTCTACCCAGACTCCCCTTGCTGTCCAGACCTCCTCCTCCTCCTCTCTTCTTCTTCTCTACATATTGCTGCCTCTTGCGTCTCTGTTTGTTCTGGTCATGTTGGTTCTTCTGGGACGGCGTCTTTGCAACCAGTCCAGTGAGTCTCACTGGTTTTCCAGTCACATCTCTTTCACCGTCTTTATGAAAATACTTCATTTACATCCAGGATCTTTAAAAAGTTGAATTTTCTAGTATTGAATGTTTCCCTGCTTTGGTCTCATCCTGGTTTTGTCTGATTTCAGATCAGAAAGACGTGATCAGAGGCAGCAGTGAGACCTGCAGCGACGTCACAACATCAGCTGATCATCAGGAGAACGACGGGAGAAACGGTGAAGAACAGCTGCAGCAGGAAACACAACGTCACAGTTTTCACCTGGAAACAAGTTTAACTCAATCCAGCTTAACCAACGTTTTCTTTATGAAACCAGTTCAATGCATTCAGATCCAGCAGATTAAAATCTGGGATTATTTCATTAGTTTAAAGTAGATTCTTTTTATTGATGCGTTTATCGTATATTTCAAACTTTTAGAGGGTTCTGATGGGCTCGGTTCTGACTGGTTCGGTTCTGATGGGCTCGGTTCTGACGGGTTCTGATGGGTTCTGATGGGTTCTGATGGGTTCTGACTGGTTCGGTTCTGATGGGCTCGGTTCTGACGGGTTCTGATGGGTTCTGATGGGTTCTGATGGGTTCTGACGGGCTCGGTTCTGATGGGTTCTGACTGGTTCGGTTCTGATGGGTTCAGTTCTGATGGGCTCGGTTCTGACTGGTTCGGTTCTGATGGGCTCGGTTCTGCTCAGTTCTGATGGGCTCTGATGGGTTCTGATGGGCTCGGTTCTGACTGGTTCGGTTCTGATGGGCTCGGTTCTGCTCAGTTCTGATGGGTTCTGATGGGCTCAGTTCTGATGGGTTCTGATGGGTTCTGATGGGTTCTGACAGGTTCTGCTCAGTTCTGATGGGTTCTGATGGTTCTGCCTCAGTGGAAATGAAGCTCTGTGGTTTCCTGTTTTTCATGCAAACATTTCAGCGAACTTGAAGTCAGAACCACAAAAATGACAGGAAGTCCAGATGCTGTCAGAAGCTTCTTGCATTGAAGTCGAGTATTAAAATGATTATTGCATAAATGATTTTATTAATTCCTTAATGAACAATGAAAGCAGAACTTTGAACTTATTTCATTTATTTAACCTTTTTTTAACTGGGCCACTTATTAACAACAAATTCTCATTGACAATAATTATTTAGCAGAAATATATCGTAATGTTGCTGTGTCTGCGATATTTATGTCATTTTAAACATAAATGTCTCTTAAACTGTAACTTTGTGTGCTGCTAAATCTGGTTTCCAGTGAGAAAAATCTAAACATTTTGTATGATTGAATTTAACTTTAGTGGAGTTTAGAAGTGTGTGATGCATGACTGGAGAGTAGTAGGAGAAAACATCAGAGAGGAAACTCAGGATTACTTAAACCAGACTAGAACCAGTTTCACTTTCTGCAGAGTATTTTTATTTTATTCAAATGAAAATGCTTTTTATTTGTAAACTATCTTCAGATTTCCAGGTTTGATACGTTCTCCAGATATTTGGGAGAATTTCCCTTTAAGCCGATTCATCTTTAACTTTTATTTTTCCTGTTTCTCCTGAATGACTCGGTTCACTGGATCAACGTCGATCACATTTTCCCTCAGGAATCATTTCAGCTCTAAGATGAAATGTTTACAACTTTATCACTAATTTGGGGACATTTTCCATGAAAAGTCTGATTTTTCTCTTTTGATTCTTCAGATGTTGCTTTAATATTTTCATATGTTGAAGCCAAACATATTTTCAGATATTTTCTAAATCTGAGAGTTTTGCTCTGATTTCATGGAAACATTTTGTTTCTTTGGATTCATTTCAGATTCAGCTGCAATTTATTCAACGGTGAGACGACAAGACGGCAGTTATGGAGAAATATTGATCAGACACCACAAGTCAGACAGAACAGGTACAGATTGATCAGATTGATCAGATTGGTCAGATTGATCAAATTGATCAGATTGGTCAGATTGATCAGATTGATCAGATTGATCAGATTGGTCAAATTGATCAGATTGATCAGATTGATCAGATTGATCAGATTGGTCAGATTGATCGGATTGATCAGATTGATCAGATTGGTCAGATTGATCAGATTGATCAGATTGGTCAGATTGGTCGGATTGAACAGATTGGTCGGATTGATCAGATTGATCAGATTAATCAGATTGATCGGTGCAGCTCCTCTCCATCGCTGTAAAACCTGAACTCTCTGCAGTCTCTTCAGCTCTGAGTGTCACTTTGTGCTGCTGCCACTGAATCTGCAGATTCCTGCATTACATTCATAAACATGACAACAATGAGGTTCTTCAGATGGAGAGAAAAGGGAAAGACGTGTCAGTTTGTCCTCCAGTAGCTGATCTACAGATAAAACTCATATCAGTTTATCATAAATGAAACTTTAAGAAACAGGAAGTCTGAGTCTCAGATTAAAGCTGTCAGGATGATTCAATCTGAATATTTCACTGATCCAAAGGAAAATCAATGCTGCTGCAACTCATATTAACTCAAGATGCTTCAGAGTAAAATATAAAACGTGTTTATTAAAATAAATCCAGCTGCACATCATCCAACCCAGAAGGAACAAAAAGCAAATTTCCTGCCAGAAACACAGAAATGAAATATTCAGAAATAAAAATTAAACTGGAGGAAACAGAATTAATCCAACTCTAGAAACTGATCAGCTAAATTCCAGATAATCAACTAATAGATCACTGAAGAATCTGATGATGTCTTTTCCATTTCAGGCTCTTAAAATACATTTTAATGAAGATGATTTTGAAGTGAATAACTGTGAGCTTCTTCATGGTGCTGATGTGACTGAACCTGATGAACTTTCTCTAACATGATGTGAACATTTTTACATAAATTTGACTTTATGATAGTAGAAAGTTTCTCATGTGTCACTGAAAGTTGATGAAATCAGATTTATCTTGTTCTGTCTCCTCTCCCGGTACATGAACATCCTGCTGATTCATTCCTATAATTCTGACTGTGGGGATCAATATCCTGCATCTTGGTTTCCAGAGAGAGATCCAGCTGTGATTTATTCAGCTGTCAGAACCGACAACATCAGCTGCAGAACGACAATCAGAGACAACAGAAACAGAGGTGAAGAGTCTGATTTACTGCATGTTGATACAAAATGTGTTTTATTAAAGTTAAATATGTTAACTGGATCCTGGATCTGTTTCAGAACCACATGACATCGACTCCTCACTGAGGAAATCTGCTAAAGGAAACAGCAGCGAGAGAAAAACTGAGTTCTGCTGAAGAAGTTTGATTCTTCCTCTGGCCTTCAGCAAGTAGATCACCATAGATCTCGTAGATCTCCGTAGATCTCTCTCCATAGATCTCTCTCCATAGATCCTGTAGATCACCATAGATCTCTCTCCATAGATCTCTCTCCATAGATCATGTAGATCACCATAGATCTCTCTCCATAGATCTCTCTCCATAGATCTCTGTAGATCTCCATAGATCTCTCTCCATAGATCTCTCTCCATAGATCATGTAGATCACCATAGATCTCTCTCCATAGATCCTGTAGATCACCATAGGTCTCTCTCCATAGATCTCTCTCCATAGATCTCTGTAGATCTCCATAGATCTCTCTCCATAGATCTCTCTCCATAGATCATGTAGATCACCATAGATCTCTCTCCATAGATCCTGTAGATCACCATAGGTCTCTCTCCATAGATCTCTCTCCATACCCAGGTTTTCCACGGTTATTCCCCACCATGTCTCCTGGAATCACTCAGGTTGGGAAAAACCTGCTCCAGAGTTCAAGGCCACAGCTGCGGTCGATGGCCAGTTCAAGGACATGAAGCTGTGTGACGACAGAGGGAAGCACGTGGTCGTCTTCTTCTACCCCTTGAACTTTACCTTCGTGAGCCCGGCTGAGGTCATTGGGTCAGTGACAGAGCAGAAGGAGGATGAAGGCTTTGTGTGCAGGGGTTTGTTTGTGGGAACCTGGAGGCAGATCACCATCAACGACTGGTCTGAGGGTCACTCTGTGGATGATCCCTGCATCTGGGGCAAACCTTCTAGCACCCAGACAGACAGGTTTGTCCTGCTGGCAGGAGGCCTGGGAGTCACACCATCAACCCCACATGGAGAAGAGCAAAGCAGTAAATCTCCAGCTCTTCTGTCCAGATTGTTCCTGAGAACAGCACTTGTCTTTGGATTGGAGGTTTCCCTGTGAAATACTCCAGATCTTTAGAACCAACTTATCCACTTCCTGTACCAGGATAACCTCTTAGACTCACGCACTGAAACTAGACTTTAGTTCTGATCCTCTTTTGTTTCTCTATATAGTGATATTTTCCTTGCTGTCATTTGCTGCCATCTCTATTAAAACTGTGAGAAAAAAAGAAATTAAGATTCTTTATGAGAAACTGTGAGAATGTTTCCACCAGCAGTACCAGAATCAGCCAGCAGGGGGCCCACCATGACTTTCTCTGGCTGTTTGTGGAAGAATGAAATAAAGTTAATAGTTTGTTTATTTTATACAAACACTGTAACATATAAATAGAGACAAACACTGAACACTTTGCACTAAAAAGAGATAAAAATAAACTGAACATATAAACACATTTATAAATAATCAAATATAAACTTTAATGTTGTCATTTTGACATTATGAATTATTGGTGACCAGTGACTGAAGCTGAACCAGTGGAGATGAGCTGATGCTTTTATGATGCTGCTTTGGCTCTGCTGCGCCACCTACTGGTCAAAATGCCGTATAACAGGCAGCAGCTGTGAGACCAGAGGATTTAATAGCAGCTAATTAATAAACTGCTGATTATCAGTGAGTCAATCATCTGGACTTCATGTGATTATTCCTAATTATTCCAGACTGGAACCAGAACTTCAGCTCCACAGTCAGTTAGAACCCAAACATCTGCTGGAGACCCGGACCTGACCCATGACCTTATGACCCCAATGTCCAGTTACCATGGAGACCCGGACCTGACCCATGACCTTATGACCCCAATGTCCAGTTACCATGGAGACCCTGACCTGACCCATGACCTTATGACCCCAATGTCCAATTACCATGGAGACCCGGACCTGACCCATGACCTTATGACCCCAATGTCCAGTTACCATGGAGACCCTGACCTGACCCATGACCTTATGACCCCAATGTCCAGCCTGCGTTACCATGGAAACCAGCCTGTTGTTCTGTCTCATTTCCTCCACGTGGTTTGAACCTGTTCATCCTGCAGTCAGCTGATCACCAGCTGATGCTTCTGGGCTCTGATTGGTCAAACCGGGACACGCCCACTGCTGATGCACGGATTATTATAAACCTGCAGCGTCAGGTTTTCCTCTCCGCCTGCAGCAGCGGGATATGACGACACGGGATCTTTGTGCGTGCGGTTTGCTCTCTGCGCATGCGCAGGAACTCCAGTTTGTTTAATGAGTTAATTTAGAAGCAGCTTGGCTGATCACTGTGCTCGCGCAGCTTGGTTCATCACCTGCTGCAGAGGACCACGTGACATTGCTTGGCCAATCAGAGCGCAGTATTCAGCGGCTGTCGCTGTTTCTTTCTCAATATTGTAATCCATACCGAACATGTCGAGCAAAACCAGAAAGTGGTCAACAGAGCTTGATGTGCATCAGGAAGCAGGAAAGGAGTCAGAGTCTCATCTGCAGGATGTGCAACAAGTTGAGCAACTCCAGGCTCCACTGGCAACTAAAGTACAAAATGGATCCAAAACGACAAAAAAAATTAAGTTATTGAAATGTTTTAATTCTTTAAAAACATCCAAATTCATTTTTAATTAGTAAAATAGCCAAAAAGCAAAATATTCATGTTTGGGGATGAAATTCTTTTTGGCCATAGAATAAAGTAATACTGTAATCTGTTGTGAGTTCAGGCTCTGTGTTGGTTTGGTTCTTTGAGCAAAGTGATGTTCATGCACAGCTCATTTTGTGCATCAGTAGAAGAAAAAGCATATATTTGTGTCTTGAAATTGGAAACAAAATCATATTTTATTAATCAGTAACGAAGGGCTCTGAGTGAAACTGGGTTCAGTTTGTTTGTTTCAATGATGGACCTCAGGATGAGCAACTCAGTGTGAAGTTATTAGTTAACTGGATTTATTTAAGCCTAAACAATCAATAATAATAGTTAATAACACTGATCACAGTATTTATTTGTGTTTTTTCAGATATTTTTACAGTTGCAGTTTCTTCTCTCAGGAGAACGGAGGGACTGGTTTCCTGTTGCTTTGACAACAATCTGAATAATAATATCTTGATCATCTGTTCAGTTTTTAAAGACAAGAGCTTTATCTCCACTGAAAAATGTGATCATTTATTATGTTTAGATTGATAAATTAATATATTTGTATCAAATACAGATGAGAGGATATCAGAGAAGTTTAACTGAATAAATCATGTTTTCTGTTTTTGCCTCTAAAGATGATTTGATCAGATTTATTTACAGAATCTCCACAAGATCCTCCACCGGATCAGAACCGGAGATCTGCTCTGACCGGATCACCTGGAGGCGGAATGAGTCCAGACTTCATTTTTCTCTGGTCCTCAAACCTCCTGCATGTTTTCAGTTCAGCAAAACCCTGATAATCAGCCACCAATTAAAACTTTGTGTGCTGAATTATGGAAACGCCTCAAACCTGGAGAGACTGGAGGACGAACATCTGAAGAGACGCTGGAGATTCAACGGTTAGAATTCGACCAGAAAACAACAACATTGATCCAATGACACATTTTCAGCAGCATTGATTGGCTAAAAGCCTGTGACAGACTGGCGACCTGTCCAGGTGACACCTCCTCCTGGTGACCCCTCCTCTAGGTGACCCCTCCTCCAGGTGACCCCTCCTCTAGGTGACCCCTCCTCCAGGTGACCCCTCCTCCTGGTGACCCCTCCTCCAGGTGACCCCACCTCCAGGTGACCCCTCCTCCAGGTGACCCCTCCTCCAGGTGACCCCACCTCCAGGTGACCCCTCCTCCAGGTGACCCCTCCTCCAGGTGACCCCACCTCCAGGTGACCCCTCCTCCTGGTCACCCCTCCTCCAGGTGACCCCTCCTTCAGGTGACCCCACCTCCATGTGACCCCTCCTCCTGGTCACCCCTCCTCCAGGTGACCCCTCCTCCAGGTGACCCCACCTCCAGGTGACCCCTCCTCCAGGTGACCCCTCCCCAGGTGACCCCTCCTCCAGGTGACCCCTCCTCCTGGTGACCCTCCTCCAGGTGACCCCTCCTCCAGGTGACCCCACCTCCAGGTGACCCCTCCTCCAGGTGACCCCTCCTCCTGGTGACCCCTCCTCCAGGTGACCCCTCCTCCAGGTGACCCCACCTCCAGGTGACCCCTCCTCCAGGTGACCCCTCCTCCTGGTGACCCCTCCTCCAGGTGACCCCTCCTCCAGGTGACCCCTCCTCCAGGTGACCCCTCCTCCAGGTGACCCCTCCTCCTGGTGACCCCTCCTCCAGGTGACCCCACCTCCAGGTGACCCCTCCTCCTGGTGACCCCTCCTCCAGGTGACCCCTCCTCCAGGTGACCCCACCTCCAGGTGACCCCACCTCCAGGTGACCCCTCCTCCAGGTGACCCCTCCTCCAGGTGACCCCTCCTCCTGGTGACCCCACTTCCAGGTGACCCCACTTCCAGGTGACCCCTCTTCCAGGTGACCCCACCTCCAGGTGACCCCACTTCCACGTGACCCCTCCTCCACGTGACCCCTCCTCCTGGTGACCCCACTTCCAGGTGACCCCACTTCCAGGTGACCCCTCTTCCAGGTGACCCCACCTCCAGGTGACCCCACTTCCACGTGACCCCTCCTCCACGTGACCCCTCCTCCAGGTGACCCCACCTCCAGGTGACCCCTCCTCCAGGTGACCCCTCCTCCAGGTGACCCCTCCTCCAGGTGACCCCTCCTCCTGGTGACCCCTCCTCCTGGTGACCCCACTTCCAGGTGACCCCTCTTCCAGGTGACCCCACTTCCAGGTGACCCCTCCTCCTGGTGACCCCACCTCCAGGTGACCCCACTTCCAGGTGACCCCTCCTCCTGGTGACCCCTCCTCCTGGTGACCCCTCCTCCAGGTGATCCCTCCTCCAGGTGACCCCTCTTCCAGGTGACCCCACCTCCAGGTGACCCTCCCCCTGGTGACCCCACCTCCAGGTGACCCCTCCTCCTGGTGACCCCTCCTCCTGGTGACCCCACTTCCAGGTGACCCCTCTTCCAGGTGACCCACCTCCAGGTGACCCCTCCCCCTGGTGACCCCACCTCCAGGTGACCCCACTTCCAGGTGACCCCTCCTCCTGGTGACCCCCCTCCTGGTGACCCCTCCTCCAGGTGACCCCTCCTCCAGGTGACCCCTCTTCCAGGTGACCCCACCTCCAGGTGACCCCTCCTCCTGGTGACCCCACTTCCAGGTGACCCCACTTCCAGGTGACCCCTCCTCCAGGTGACCCCTCCTCCTGGTGACCCCTCCTCCAGGTGACCCCTCCTCCTGGTGACCCCACTTCCAGGTGACCCACTTCCAGGTGACCCCTCTTCCAGGTGACCCCTCTTCCAGGTGACCCCACCTCCAGGTGACCCCACTTCCAGGTGACCCCTCCTCCTGGTGACCCCTCCTCCTGGTGACCCTCCTCCAGGTGACCCCACTTCCAGGTGACCCCTCTTCCAGGTGACCCCACTTCCAGGTGACCCCTCCTCCTGGTGACCCCTCCTCTCGCCCTGAATGCAGCTGTAGAGGCAGCAGCTCCTCCTGACCCCACTGGGGTCAAGGGTGAACAGATGATGGATGGATTATTTGATGATTGATCCACCATCAGTTCTGGACTTCAACCAAAAATCAAACATCAATCAATTATCAGACACTGAAGCTGCTATTTGGTCCTAAATTCTCAAATAATTCCTAAAATATACATAAATAAATATTGTAATAATAACAACGATGATGTGAATATTTGACCAAAACAACATCAGCTTTCATGCTGATGCTTCAATTTATATAAAATGATTTTTATAACAATTTAAATAAGTCAAACTTTATTTTGTTTCTGTTTCTCTTTTCTCTGTCTGTGACCTTTGAACTGTTCAATGTTTAATAAAGCATGAAGTGCTAAATATGAAAGTATTTAGCATTTAGATGAAACCATTTTAAATATGAAAGGCCATTTATTGACTCGTTCATGGACAGATTGCAATAATTATAACTGATAATTATATTGTTTGTTTCTGTTTTCCCAGTAGAATCATCGCCTTTAATTACGTTCAAGAACAATTTAGCTTCCACTGTTAATCTGTACTCTAGCGCCACCTGCTGGTCTGAGCCTTGCTGTGGTCATTTCTGGAAACTGAAGGTCATTTCTGTCCAGCAGGTGGCGCCTCTGTCCCAGTGAATCTACTGTGATTAAGAAGTGCTACAGTATTTATTCTAATTAAATGCTAATAAAGGTAGAGTCTTAACATATGAGTTACAGAAAAAACATTA